TATGGAAACAATTAATCCAATGGACTAATGAACCACATGTACAGCAGTCTCCATGATCCTGAGAGCAGAAGGACTAGATGGCGCCCAAACGCTGTGAAAAGGGTCACGTTATAAGTTCTGGGTAAATTGGGAGAAAATGTGGAAGAAAACTCAAGATCATAAAAGAAACCAGGCTCACTGGTCAGATAGTCTCGTGGAACCTCCAAAATGATGGTCCTTACTCACCCTTCAGACTAAAGTCACCCTTGTGTCAGAATAATCAACTGTTTAAGATCCAAAGGGTGGCATTTACTCAAGGACAAAGTTCAGAAAGTTAGGAAAGAAGGAAGAGTGGAAACAGTAAACACAGGGTGAAGTAAGATAAGTGATGCTACATTGAGTGGATAGCACTGAATGAGATAATGGGTGATGTTAGGTGTATGAATTATTGAAATTAAAATGGATTATCTGCTCTCTAAACCTTCATCTGATTCACAATAAAAAGTTTTAAAAGAAACTAAGCCCGAGGTGAACGGCAGTTATTTTGGTTACTGTTGTTAGCAGTGTCATTGTAATATTTCCACACTAGCCAACCTACTGGGGAGTCTCCTCCAGTTATTATCTGACATGATGGAGCAGGAGTCCCCGAAGTGAATGTGGGAAGAAAGCCCTCAACCTTTTCCCTGAACACTCTTTGAGATCTGAAATATAAAATGTAAAAGGAAAGACCATAAACAAAACCCCAACCCACTGTTGTTGAGTCGAATCCCACTCATGGTAACCCTATAGGACAAAGGAAGGCTGTTCCACCGGGTTTCTGAGACGATAAATGTTGACCAGAGCAAACAGCTTCTTCTTTCTCCTGACTAGTGGCTGATGGATTGAAACCCTTGAATTTATAGAATTTACAGTTAGCAGCCCAATACTTCACCCACAGCATCACCAGGGCTCCTTCGGAAAGAGCATGCACGTGCTTTTCTACTAAGGTTGCTTCATGATAGAAAGTGACCTCTTCTGAAAGGAAGGCTTTATTTGCTCAGACTATAAAATGTAATCACATAAAAGAAAAATTATTTTGAATCTACCACAAAACAACAACCTTTGTATTTCTTTAAAGTCTAGATTTAGGAGGAACCAAAAGAAGTGTAGCAGGCAGCTCCTAAAAATTAAAAAACAAACAAACAAACCCACTGCCATTGAGTTGATACTAACTCATCACGACCCTATAGAACAGGGTAGAATTGTCCCTGTGGGTTTCTGAGACTCTAACTCTTTGTGGGAGTAGAAAGCCTCCTCTTCCTCCTGAGGAGCAGCCGGTGGCCTTGAACTGCTGACTCCTAAAATGGACCCAAACAATCTCTACCTTCTTCATGCAAATATGTAATCACTTTGCCTCAAGTGTAGACTGGATTTAAAACTAGCTGTTAACAGAATGTGGCAGAAGTGATAAAATGTCATTTCCAAGATTAGGTTATAAAAACATTGACTTGTGGCTATCAAAAGATATAGCGTCTGGGGTCTTAAAGGCTTGAAGATAAACAAGC